AAGTGATAAAAAATATTAGAGAATAAATCTGGGAGGTTCAACACCCGAATAAAAGAAATCCTAGAAAAAAGAGAATAGGGAAAATGAAGGGTAGAAAAGTATCAAAGAAATAATGTAAGAAAATTTCACAGAACCTGAGTTTCCAGATTAAAACGATTCAATAGGTGCCCAAGAAAATGAATGAGAAAAGAACCCCATCAGGGGGTTATCATCATACATTCTAAAACTAAAAAGATAAAGAGAATATTCTAAAAGTTTCTAAGAGAACATTCAGTCACATACCATAGAGCAGGAATTAGGAAAGCACCAGAAGTCTCAACAGCGACCCTAGAAGCTAGAAGAAATTAAGAAGAGCCTGCATAGCGCCAGTCCGGTGGTGTAGCGGTTAAGTTCAGGCACTCCGCTACGGCAGCCTGGGGTTCATTGGTTTGGATCATGGGTGCAGACCTACACACCACTCATCAAGCCATGCTGAGGCGGTGTCCCACATAGAGCAACTAGATGGTTGTACAACTATGACATACAACTATCTACTGGGGCTTGGGGGAGAAAAAAGGAAAAAGGGAGGAAGATTGGCAACAGATGTTAGCTCTGGGCCGAGCTTCCTCAAAAAAAAAAAAAAGGAAAAGCCTGCAAAATTCTGAAAGAAAGTGAATTCCAACCTAAAATTCAATACTCAGTGAAAATACCAATCAAATGTGAGAGTAGAATAAAGGGTTTTTTTGGAAATTCAAGGTCTCCAAAAAGTTATCTCCTACATACTCTTTCTCAACAAAATCCAGTAATCCAGCAAAATAAGGGAGTAAAGCAAAAGAATGGTGATAGCTAACATTTATGTAGTACCTATTGTATGCTAGGCTTTCTTCTAAATGTCGTGTGTGTGTGTGTGTGTGTGTGTGTGTGTGTGTGTGTCTTCATTTAATTTAATCCTCCTAGGAATGAGCTGAGCATTAGTATTATCCACATCTTACAAGGCAGTGGAGGTAGGTTTGGTAGTCTGCCCTGAGTCACAAAGCCTGTAAGCAGCAGTAGCCTGGCTCCAGAGCCCAGGCCCTTAAGGAAAGAGGAAGATTTAATACCCGTTCATGAAAGGAACTTCCTCAACCTGATAAAGGGCCTCTCTGGAAAATCTTTAGCTAACATCATATTTAATAGAGAAATATTAAATGCTTTACCCTTAAGACTGGGAACAGGGAAAGAATGTCCAGTCTCATAACTTCTATTCAGCATTATACTAGAGGTCCTAGCCAGCGAGATAAGGCAAGAAAAATAAATAAAAGGAAGAGAGAAAACTGTCTTTATTCTCAGATGACATGATGTGTACATACAAAATCCAAAAGAATCTTTAAAAATAAAACTGCTAGAGCTAATAAGTGAATTTACCAAGGTCCCAGAATACAGGGTCAATATACATAACTCAACTTTATTTCTACATACTAGTAAGAAAAAAACTGGAAAATAAAAAAAAATTTTAAATACCATTTATAATAGCATCCAAATAACCATAAATTACTTAGGATATAAATTAAAATACGGACAAGATTTATGTACTGAAAACTATGAAACATTGCCGAGATAAATTAGAAAAGACCTAAATAATTGGAGAAAGATACAATGCTCATGGATTGGAAGACTCTGTGTTGTTAAGATGTCAATTTTTTCCAAACTGATCTACAAATTCAACATAATCCAAATCAAAACCCAGCAGGATATTTTGTAGAAATTGACAAGCAGATTCTAAAATTTATCTGGAAATGTAATCAAAGCAATTTAGATAAAAGGAGCAGGCCTGGAGAGTAACCTGTCTAGATTGGAACAGGACCGTGAAAGGCTCCAGGAGCAAGGTCTCCAAGAAAGAAAAAAAATCAATAGCTTATCTGATGAACGTGAATGCATTAAGGGAGATATTTGGGACCGATGTAAGGAAAAGTACATGGAAAATCATATCGTTAACTCCAGGGAAAACAAACCTTGTGCGAAGAAAGGAAATGTATACATTGTATCCGACTGTGAATAATTTTTTACCTAGTCATTATTACGAAAATGTCAAATGTTGATTTAACCAAAAAGTGTGGTATCTATGTCCTAGGAGAATGAAGGAGGCAGTATTTGTGTTTGCTTGGAGAGGGGTAAAAGCAGGAGAGAGTTTGAGATCCTCAGAAGCCAAGATAGAAAGTCAATGGATGATGTCTAAAACTGGAAGAAAAAAAAAAAAACAAGAGCTAGCAGAATAAGCATGATATTGAGAAATATATAGACCGCTCTTCCATGAAACAGCTATGAGAGTTGAAAGTTGTTGCCTTTGCCTGCGGGGAGTCGGGTGGGAGGGCTGCTGCTGGTTTTCGTTGTAAGATGTATAAAGCTTATTTCACGTTTTGAAACAATGTGTGTGAAATCTCTTGATAAAAAAGAAAAACGAATTTTAGAAAGTCCGAGTTAACATAGTCTGTTTATTTTTTTAATTCTTTAATTCATTTCAACCCTCAAGGTTGGAAGAAGGATCTTGAGTTTAAAAACAGAATACCAGGGTGGGTAAAAACAGAATACCAGGATGGAGGTAACAGCTCAGCTGATAGCCACTGGTGGCTTTCTGGGTCCAACCCAGAGATGTTTGACCCCTCCAGCCACTGCGTGGAAACAGCAAAAGGCTGTACTCCACCACGATTTCTTGGTTAGTGGTCATCTCTGGGAAGACTCTTAGACCAAAGAGGAGATGGTCCTTTTATTTCACCTGCATCTATGAGACTTCTCAGCCTCTGAAAGACCCTAATTAAAACGCAAGTTGCTGGGAAAGAGGCAATCTTAAGCCCCTATCAAATAAAATCCAGATTATCAATTAATATTTTTGCTGGAACTAGTAAGAGTGGGCCACTGGATGGGGGGCAAGGGATGGTGAGGGGGCTGTGGTTGGTCAGAAGGGGAATTAGTATGTGAGAAAATACTATATTTCAGCATGATTTTTGGGGGGTTGGAATATTTTAACCAAGCCTACAAAACAAATTGTCAATTTTTAAAACCAGCAAGCATTGTGCAGAACATACATTCATATCCCAACCCCTGTCCCCCTCCCGATCCTTGATGGTCACCCCATCTCTAACACCAGTCCTGTCCCTGACTCTCTCCCCTCTCTCACCCCTGTCTCCTCTCCTAAGACGCACCCAGTCCCTGGTCCCAGCCCCATCCTGGACATAGGGCTCCTCCCCGAGGTGAATCATCTCCCTGAATTTGCCCAGATACCCAATCCTGACTCCATCTAGTGATGGAAACACCAGTTTTCAATATTTTAATACACCGTATTATTTCAGTACCAACATCCTGGCGCTTTTACAGATCTGAAATTCAAATCATTTCTGTCTTGAGCTACCCAGAGAATGAGGCGCTACATTAAAAATTCTAATCAAACAATGTTGCACTTGCTGGAAGATAGTTCTGACCACATTCCTCCCCCGTTATAACACTTGCAGGTTATTTTATTGCTATCTGAGTCCCACTTCCCAGTAATTAGTGAGGCCAAGCATCTTTTCCGATGTATATTAGTCATTTATATTTCTCCAGACCCAGTATGGACCCTTATTAACCTCTGGAAGCCCCTGAAGGAGTTGTCTTTGGACAGCATTTGATGAAGGCAGATGGGCATTGAGTACACAGTTGGAGGGGTGAAGAGGGGGTTGGGGAGGGAGGGAGAGGAAAGAGAGGCTCCCAGGCCCAGTTCCCAGCCTTCCTCCCTGGATTCTTTCTGCATTCTTCTGTCTTCTCTCTTGAATCAGATCTATCTCTTAGGGCTTGAGTCCCTAACTTCTTCCTCAACGACCTGCTTAGAGAGTCTCAAGCTAGACAGGCCGAGCCACCTCCATCCTGGCCCCTCGAGGAGCATCTTAGACAATGCTCCAGAGAGGATGGCGACGCTCCCAGGGATGTCTTCCTGCTCTAGCTACTAACTGGACTAAGGGGTAGTGGCTACTCTTGTAGCTTTAACCCCCACCCCCGACATGCACTCTGTTACGGACCCCCCTCCCTGAGGCTCACTACACACTCCCATTCATCCCATTCCTAAGCCTCACTCCATACCTGGTCCCAACCCCATCTTGTACCCCCTGAATCTCACTCCCCCAGTCCCAGACTCTCCCTATTTCTGGGTCTCTCCCTGCTCTTAACATTCATCCTTCTCTGACTATCCCCCATGTCCCAAGCTGCCACACCATCCCTCGCTCCCCTCCACCTCATCTCTGGCTCCAATCTCAATCCCTGATGCCAACCCAACCTTGATCTAAATCCCATCTCCGAACCTAACTCCATTCCCATCCTCAAACCAAGTGAAGCTTTTCTTTTAAGAGTTTTATAGGTTTAGCTCTTATATTTAGGTCTTTGATCCATTTTGAGTTAATTTTTGTATATGGTGTAAGGTAAGGAACCAATTTCATTCTTTTGCATGTAGATATCTACTTTTCCCAGCACCATTTGTTGAAAGATTATCTTTTCCCCATTGAATAATCTTCACACGCTTGTTAAAAATCATTTGACCATTTATGCTCAGGTTTATTTCTGGGCTCTTTATTCTCAGGTTCTTTTCATCCTTTGGCTCCATCAGCCTAAGTGTGTTGGGCTTTTTGCCTCATTGCCACCAAGTGGCTGCCTCAGCTCCACACTTCATATCCTATAATCATGTTCAAAGGCAAGAACCAAGAATGTGTGTGCGTGTGTGTCTCTTTTTAAAGAGGAATATTTCTCAGGAGTCCCCTAGCCCCAGAAGACTTCCTCCTAAGCAATGGTGTGCTGAAGCCAGTTTGTATCTGCTTGTGAAAGCAGATTATTACATTCTCTAGAACTTTATGAGCTAGTTGCTAAACACCACCACCCTTGAAATTGCCACCGTGGCAGAATATATACAGGGAACTGGGAGAACGCTACAGATCAGCACTTTGTTCCCCAGAAGAATGGTTTACCAGCCCACTGTTGCCCTTAAGTCTTACTAGTCAGAACTGGATGACACGGCCACTCCTAGCATAAGGGAGTCTTAGAAAGAGAGTATCTGTCATTCTCAGCCTCTCTCAAGGGAGACGGACTTGCCCAGCAGGCTGGGAAAGGGAGAGATGCAGAGGCACCAATGGTGCTGCCACTAATGGCTCCCAATGCCCGGAAGGTTTTGTAGTCACTTACAAGAATGTCTTTTAAACGTCTCAGAAGACAGAGTGCTGTGGGCTCAGTGGTCGGATGGACAGAGCTCTGGCAGTTGCCATGGTACTTTTGCTAAGGGGTGGGGCCCCAGGGCAGGCTTTCTAAACCACACAGTGGGGGCCTGGTAAGGACGCAGCCTCAGCAACTTCCTGTAACCACAACGGGGGCCGCCTTGACCCAGAGACCGAGGACAGCCAGTGGACGTGAGGCTTGGGATGGGATGCTGAAGGGAAGGGAGGAGCCCTGAGGGGCTGCAACAGGGGTGGGCGTCTCAGAGGGTGGTGGAAGTGTTCCCCGAAGAGGAACCAACAAAGGAAGGCCTGCTATCCTTGGGCAAGAACTCCTTGCGGATAAGGCCGTGGATGGCCAAGATCTTGAGGAGTCCGTGGCGAAACTTCTGGCCGATGAAGACATAGATAAGGGGGTTGAGGCAGCTGTGGAGGAAGCCCAGAATCTCGGTGGCATCCAGGGCCCGGCCAATGTCGTTGCGACGCTCACAGGTCTCCTCGATGACCCGGAGCCTCATGAGGGTGTCTGAGACCAGGACCAGGTTGTAGGGCAGCCAGCAGAGCAGGAAGACGAGCACGACAGCAAAGATGACCCGCATGGCCCGGTGCTTCTGCCTCATTTGGGCCTGAAACAGCGTGCGCAGGGTGAGTCCATAGCAGAACAGCATGACCAGCAGCGGCAGGAGGAAGCCAAAGGTCTGGGGCAGGACCCGCATCACCATCCGCCATTTGGTTGTGTTGGCACCCAAGTCCTCATAGCAGACTGGGCTGGAATCGGGTGGGTTGACGGCCTTGCGGAGGAAGAAGATGGGCAAAGACAGAATGAAGGACAGGGTCCAGATGCCTAAGCATATGAACTTGACCCAGTTCCGCTTCTGGGTCAGCGTGCGTGTGGCGTGGACGATGGCCAGGTAGCGGTCCACGCTGATGCAGGCCAGCAGTAGAATACCGCTGTAGAAGTTGACTTCCTTCAGGAGCGAGACGACCTTGCACAGGGTTGTGCCAAAGATCCAGCCCTTTGCCTCGGAGGCAGCCCAGATGGGCAAGGTCAGGGCAAAGAGCAGGTCGGCTATGGCCAGGTTCAGCAGATAGACATCGGTGACAGAGCGGCTGACCCGGCTGTATAAGACCACCAGCATCACCAGCGAGTTACCCAGCAGGCTCAGCAGGAAGACCAGCGCGTAGATGATGACCACGGCGTACTTGTTGCGTGTCTCAGTGTCTATCCTACAGGGACTATTAGATCCGTCTATGGCTGGTGTGCCAGTGAAATTTCCCCACTCATCCCAATAGTCTTCCCAAAAATCACTATCATTCCATAGATTTTCCACAATGATAGCCATGGTTTGATCTAGTTGAAAGATTAGAAAGAAAGAAATGTGATTTAGTAACTGAGATTCAAATCATGCTCATCAAAGATATGAGAACATGGCTGGGGTATCTTTTGCTTCTCTGTTGGTTTGACAGCCAGAGATCCCACCATTTGTCTTCCTTCTTTAGCGGTCGGCTTCCCCGTGTCATCAACCTTCCATAACTCCAAGGCTGGGCCTGAGTATAGGACAAGATGGACTACAGAGGAAAAAACTTTGTCGTTGGCCTTCCTACAACAGCCTCAGCTCTACCTACAATTCTTCCGCTGTACTCTTTTTAGCATTCTCCATCCTCAAGCAAGTCTGTGCCTTCAGACGGGAGGACCAGGTTGGTCTTACACATTCAGGGAAGGGTCAGCATTAAGCAAAATGGAGGGAAACAAACCTGTTCCCTGATGCCCCTTTCTATGTTATTTCCTCTCCTCTGTTCTTCCCGATTCCTGTTTAACCTTCTCAGAATCTGCTGAGGGAAGGAAATGATAGCAACAAATTTCATGAAAATGTATTTGAAGCCTTCTCTCTAAAGGAGCAATAAATGTTTTGGTCCTCTGTCTAAAGGAAGTTTAAGCAGTTGAGAGAAGTCCCCATCTTGGTCCCTGAAATCTCCTCCTAAACATCCACAGAATCGTTCAGCAGTTTTCAAATATTTTTTTCATTGTGAAACGCTTTGTTGAAGCAAAATCTTACCAGAAGCCCAATATGTTAAACAGATGAGAGGTTCTCTGCTGGGGAAGGAGAGTGTGTGGCTCTCTCTACCCAGACAGCCACTATGAGGTTCCCCCAAAAGCCCAGGGCTCTCCAGAGAACAGTCTGGAAAAGTCTGGAAAGTTACCAAGACTGGAAATAAGGACCACTGGTGTCCAGTCCTCATTCTGTCCTGATTCTGTCATTAATAAGCTGGGAACCTTGAGTCGGCCCTTCTCCCTCCACAGAGTTCAGTTTTCTCATCTGCAAATGGAGCAAGGCGGAGTAGATAACCCCTGAGTTGCTTCCAAGCCTGAGCTTCTAGAAGTCCATTCAGAGCCACACATTTTACTATGCGGTCTCCTTGCCAGTATTTGCATTTTCACAGAAGACAAAGTCTTAGGGCAAAGCGATAAACATCAGATTGGGGAAATGCAGGCGTCCTCCCTGAAAAGAGGGGCAAGCTTGACAGGAGGAGGTGAGAAGGCTCCTGTCACCAACTACAGCCAGGAATGAGGTCAGAATTGAATACATGGTCACAAAATAGCAGGCAGGAAGCCACCCGCACAGAAATCCTCAGATCCCAGAGAAATGGGTGCATTTCCTAAAAGACAGTGAAGTCTGGTCTCCCTGCCCCAAAGAAAGTCAGCAAACAGAGGTGGCTTCCTACCTGAGGCACCGGCCTGGCGGGTCCAACCGTACGAGCCCGGAGCCCAGAGACCAGAGTGACAGTGGCTAGAGAGAACTTGATGTATAAAGGGAAATAAGGAAGCCACGTTACAGCACACATCCTCTTCCAGCCCTGCCCACGTCTACATCTGAAGAAGAGATTAAGTCAAGGGACCACAGGACATCAGAGACTCCCAGGGTCCATATGTCCAAGCAGGGGTACCCGGCATGAAGATGGGGTGAAGGGTCCAATATCTGAATTCTCCACTCTATGAATGACCATTTTTATTCTCTTCCTGTCCCTGCATGTATTTCCACTTGTTTGTCCCTTAAATTCCCTAGATCACCTTTGAAATCTTCCAACTTGCCTGACATTAATCAAGGGGAAAGGACTTGACGTTTTCCAGTAGAGACTTCAGAAGGAGGCCACCATTGGAGGGCCTTGTAGGAGCCTCCGCTTAGGGGGCGCTTGGGGGCAATCTGGCGGGAAGGAAGTGGAAGACTGCCCTTAAGCTGTGTTTGGGCAGCAAGCACACAACTTTACTCGCATCATAGGCTTCCTCGGGGTGGCTTGGGGGCCGGTGGAGATGTTGGTGGAGATTTGGAGGGAGAACTCACCATCGCCAGACGCTTCTTCGCACAAACGCTGCCAATGGTTGATTGATTAGAATGGCCCTGAGGCTGGGGGCATGGGCCACTCCTGGAGCCTGGCTGGGCACCAGGGAGACCATGAGAGCTGGGCCATCGGTGGATGGAGGAACCGGGTTAATGTCACTCTGCTCCTCTATCAGTAACGCAGGATGGCTTCTCTGCACACCTGCCCCAGCTGCTCCTAGCAGCTCATCTCTGTCGCCTGGATTACTCCTCTGGTATTTAATCACTTCTCCACTATAACATGAACCCTGTTGTACAGTCATGATTGTGGGGTTTTTTGTTTTGTTTTGTTTTGTTTTGTTTTGCTTATGAGGAAGATCAACCCTGAACTAACATCTGTTGCCAATCCACCTCTTTTTGCTGAGGAAGTCTGGCCCTGGGCTAACATCCGTGCCCATCTTCCTCCACTTTATATGGGATGCCGCCACAGCATGGCTTGACAAGCAGTGCATTGGTCGGCGCCCGGGATCCGAACCCGCAAACCCTGGGCCGCCAAAGTGGCATGAGCAAACTTAACCACTACGCCACCGAGCCGGCCCAGTAATGATGTGTTTACACGTCAGCCTTCCCCACTAGACCATGAGCTAGAGAGCAGGGACCCTCTCCAGTTCATCTTTGGACGCTCTGCCGGGGAACAAAGGAAGCGCTCAACCACCGGTGTAGGTAGACTAAAGGACAGCAGATGTGTCTTCTCTGATCGCTGGAGCATGGATCACCACCACCACTCGGAGCGTCCATCACTTTGGGCCACCGTCACACACGAGAGGTGCCTGAAAGCTTCACCTCCAGGCCACCAGGCTGCTCTGCCTGGCGTGGTTCATTCCCAACCATCCTCTATTGTTTAAAGTCAGCGCCAAGCTGTTCAAGTGTAAATTCTTCCCCTACCGTAAATGCCAAATTTGTCATGTAGCTGACGCCTACAATTCTGCCACTGGTGAGCATGGTTTGTAAGCTACGTCATGCTCTTCTCCTGGATTCTCTTATCATGTATAAATAGTAGCAGGAAGTTTAAGGAGACAATCGCCCTGGGCCTACCCATGCTTTGCTTTCACTGACCTTGAACTATTGTGATCTGATGCCTGGACTAGAAAGGACTTGAAGATGGGGTAGTCCTGAAGGGAGGGAGTGGACAGTCCTTCTCGTAATCATCTAGGGAACAGGTAGCTCCTGGGGTGTAAAATGGTGACTGGGGACACAGGAGAGAACAGACTGTCTGGGGCCTGGGCTGCAAAACGCCTCCATGGACTCTACTGGAAGTGGAGGCGATGGGGAAAGAGACTGTCTGCCACGAGGGGGCGGCAGTCGCTGGACGGGAAAGTCCTTGCAAGGGACCCGTTGAGAAAGCCCAGGGCAAGAGCAGCCCCATCTAATAGGTACTTTTAAGCTCCTCTTTGTGTATAGTTCCCTTCTGCTTTTCCTAAGCCCTCAGTCAAGGCGGCTCAGCATTCCAGTCTATTTCAACCAATGACTGGGGTTTAGGGAAGGGTCTGGTCCACCCTCAAGCTGGAGGAGGAAAGAGGAAGCAGCCCTCTGGACATGAGTGGGGGTGGCAATGGCCGTGGCTTAGGTCTCCAGTGGGAAGATGATCTGGAGGACAAGAGTTGAAAAGACTCTTTCCCCTCAAGGTAGGAAAGAGCACGTCGCTGAAGGAGGGGAAAAGGCACCCACCTATAGATGAGCTTGGAATATTTATCCACTTGAAACTGTTCCAGCAAGTTCGCCCACCCAACATATCTTTCATGCCTCACTTCCCTCTTATCACGGCTCCCTCTCAAATGGATTGATAATGTTCCTAATGGGAAAGCATTTTTCCATGCTGTGCAGAACATCCAGTACCACACATTGCTGTGACATGTGCAGCCTGAATGCCAGTCCGCTGGCAAAATGCGGAAGTCTCTTCTTGCTACTGTGTTTTTAAAATGATAGCTTCTGTGCAAGACCATGTGAACAGCACAGCACGGCTGTAAGCATGTCTGTTTTGTCCCTGTGTCAGCTTTGATGCCAGCATCAGCACCTCCTCACGTTCCTGCAGAAGAACCCACCAGGGACCAAAGGAGAGACAAGGGAGGTGGAGGAGAGAATTCGCCCCTCTGCCCGGTCATCATCCCCACTGCCACAGTGACAGGTTCAGGGGTAAGGTGTGACCTGAGATGATCCGCTCAGAGCCAAGTTCAGGAGGGTTGTTTGACGACTGTGGAAAAGCAAGTATGTGGTCTTGTTGCTGCTGGAGGCCGTTTTGCCACCATAAATGGCAAACCAGTCCAAGGATAAAAACTAGTACCCGGAGGAAGGCAGAGCCAAGAGGATCACAGAGAAACGGGGCCAGAGTCCTGAACAGACGACGCCCAGAGGTCATCTTCTCTCTGCACTACGTGAGCCAATAAATTCTCTCTATTGTTAAGACCAGTTCAAGTGGAGTTTTCTGTTCCCCGCAACCAAAACTGTGCCCAACCGAGAGAGTTCTGGAAACCAAAAGTGATGTAGGATGAGAGGAGAGGGGAGGCATGTAGGTGAGTCGTAGGGTCCAGGCTGTGATGATCAGGATAACGGCAGGACTTGACAGAGGTGTGACCCGGGCGGGTACAGACCTCCTAGCCCTGCTTGCCAAGCTCTGGTGGAAGCCAGAGAGGAACCTTGAAAAGTGACCACATGGGGACCCATCTGAGGACACTCTCCCGGCTGAATTCAGAAATCTTCACGAAGGACCCAGAAATCCTGGCGTCAGAGTCAGAGAGACCGTGATTCAAATACCGGCCCTCCTTCAATCGTTTCTGACCTTAGACAAGTTTCTCAACGTGCATCCAAAGCTCTTTATCCATAAAGATGGGAATAATAACATTTGCCTCACGGAGCCGTGTGGTGATGACGTGGGACGAGGTCACGGGCTCTAGGACCAAACCACCTGGGTGCAAATCCCAGCTCTGTCCATGGCCAGTATGTGCCCTTGGGAAGCATAGGTACTCGCTCTGTGCCTCGGTTTCCTCATCTGTAAAATGGGTATAAAAGTAGGACCTAGCTTATAGGATTGGGATGAGAAGCAATGAGTTAACACATGTCAAGTGCTTAGCACAGTAGCTGGCAGATAATAAGTGTTCCGTCACTCTTAGCTGCCTTTATACATGCCCCCACGGTCCTGTTGGGGGAATATGTACCACACGCACTAAACGACGCAGACCCTCTGACCCTGTGATCCCACCTAACGTGAAGAAATTAAGGGAGGAGGCAGGGAGGACAAAGTATATCACAGGGTCGTTTACAATAATAAAATTTGGTAATAATTTCAATGTCCTACCAAAAGCTATTATACAAATCACAGCAGATCTATAAAATGCAACACTGGGCTTCTATTAAACACAAACATCTGAAGCCACGATTAATGCTATGGGAAGGTATCTATACTAGAATACCAAGCGGAAATAAAGGCTAACAAGCAGAATGTTCGGTATGAGAGCATTTGGTAATAAATGTATGTATACATATGCACAGGGGAAAAACGGGAGAGACGGGGTCAAAATGTCAACAGTGGTTATCTTGGGGTGGTGGGATTACAGATATCTGCTTTTTCGCTTCTAACTTTTTTTTTTTTTTTTGAGGAAGATCAGCCCTGAGCTAACATCTGTTGCCAATCCTCCTCCTTTTGCTGAGGAAGACTGGCCCTGGGCTAACATCTGTGCCCATCTTCCTCCACTTTATATGGGACGCCGCCACAGCACGGCCTCAGTGCACACCCGGGGTCCGAACCCGGGCCGCCAGCAGCGGAGCGCGTACACTTAACCGCTACGCCGAGGGGCGCGGGGCCAGCCCCTCGCTTCTAACTTTTGATGTTGCCCCACTTCTAAAGTGAGCGCTACTTTTGCAATCAGAAAAAAAAATGTGTATCCAGCCATTTTCATTAAAAAATAGGGGTTGGCCTGGTGGAGTAGTGGTTATGTGCACATGCTCCACTTCCGCGTTCGCAGGTCCACCTGGGGTTCGCAGGTTCAGATCCCAGGCATGGACCTATGTACCGCTCATCAAGCCATGCTGTGGCAGCATCCCATAGGCAAAATAGAGGAAGATGGGCACAGACGTTAGCCCAGGGCCAATCTTCCTCAGCAAAAGGAGGAGGATTGGCAATAGGTGTTGGCTCAGGGCCAAACTTCCTCACCAAAATAATAATAATAATAAAATTAAATAAATAACACTCTGGTGGTCCTTTTCCGTCTCCTCACTCAGATTTGCCTGTCCAGCTAGGTTTGTGAGCAGATGCTGGGACCCCGAGCCTCCTCTCCACTGAACTCCTACCTCCTCAACCCTTCAACCCCCTCCCCTCCTTCCCCCTCGGGGCTCCCATGCCACCCACCCAGTTCTCTGCTGTTGGGGGTCTCAGATTGTATCACACTCATCTTTAGGGGTCTTTCTCTCCCGCTGGACTGTGACT